CAACTCTCAAGGGCTTGATGTCCATAATTAGTGAAAAATTTAAATCCAATACTTCCGCCCCGCCATGGAGAGAGTAAATTGAAGTGCATCACGGCATAACTAAGGGTCACGTGATATAGGTGTGTTGACTACGGTTTGTAACACTTTCCACTGGTTACCAAGATGAAACTGTGAAGGTCACGCCAAGCTCTTTTCAATTTCCCCTTACTTCTGAAAACATTGACCACGCGGATTATTCAGGCTGCCGACCGGTCTAGAATTTTCTACATGAAACAAAATTGTTTCAAAATTTTGCTTTTCTGTGCTATGCTCACCACAAATTTAAAAAATAGTGAGCGTAAGATTTCTATCGCGTGATTGTTAGCTCGTTCAAAGCTGGAATAGGCTGCCACGTGATAGAGATCTAAAGCGAAAAATCAAATTGAGCAAGACCTATACAGCAAAATTCACGCCAATAAGTAATAATTTTAAATAAGCGTGACTGACCTGTAAACTAGCTTTATATAGCTAAGTGTCAGCCACGTTAATAAAGTATGTATGTATTTGTATGTATGTATATAATAAGCTAATTTTCGAGTCTTCGGATACTTTTTTCAGATCATGGCGCGACTTCAGCTAAATGCAACCATTGCAACAAGATTTTGGAGACAACAGCTTCTCAGAATTAAAGCAGAATGAAAAAAATATGTATACATCTGCAGAATCAAAAAAATATATATATACATCTGCATTAGATGATGAAGATTGAAGTTGAAAGTAATTATTTTTGTTTTCAAAAATTAACCAGGTGTAAGGTTGAATATAAATGTATATTGTTGAAAGCAAACATCAATCTTAGAAAGAAAGCATTACTTGTTGAACATTGATACTCTCTTGAAATTGTTAAATTAGAATATGTAAACGATTGAATGGTGCACTTCTCGGACAAAGCAAGCAGAATGAAAAAAAAATATATATATATATGTACGTATGTATGTATGTATTGTATGTATGCATGGGTGTATGTATGCATGTATGCATGTATGTATCGGAGCCCTGAATACAGTCAATTCTTTATAACAACCACTCTCTCAAATACCCTCCACTTCGTTCAAAATCATTTTGTGTTTACTTTCTAAAAGTCCTTTAGGCGACTGGAAGCTTGGATTTCTTTAGGATGCATTGTTTACCTGCCCAGGTATTGGTTCTTCCATTTTTTTCCAACTGAGACTACAATGCTGCAAAACATCACATGTTTTAGGTGCTTTTCCTTTTCTAGAGTTCAACAGCCTACGAAACCTTTCTTTTAATGCAATAACAGTGTAAGGCCATCCTACTGGACTTTGCCGCTATCCATATAATTTTTTTTTCACGGCCGACTCGTTTTTTGAAGTGATTTCCTCTTAAGTGAGCCGTAGCGAAATGGGAATCCATTTTGTAGCTCTCTAGTCGCTTAGTACTTTGGTATTTGTACTAATAGTAATAAATATGCTGTGGTAATCTCCTCCGAGCCAGCGAATCAGCGCCCGCAAAGAGCGCTATTATGCAATGAATTAGAAATCAACTGATGTTCTTTTCTCAGATGCTGCAACCTGACTGGCGACGCTACTCGCTATGTAGCTTCAGTGATAGACAATCAATAAAGTGAGAAGCCTAACAATTTAGGATTATAAACTTGTTGTATTCTCTTTCCTGACTTCATGCGATTGTGGAAAAAAAAAACATCAACAAAACATGAGCCTGTCTTTTTGTTGAGTTTAAACGACAAATAGATTGATACAGGAGCCCATTGGTAATGGGTTCCTGATTGATATGAAAACAATTAGATTATTCGTCCACTATTTCTTTAGCGTGATAGTTGATGTTGGCCACTGGGCTTCGCCCTCATCAACTATCACGCGGTAAAAATCTCGAGCTCATCGTCATCTATGATTAGCGAATTCATGCATTTTTTTGACATTTTATGTTACCTTTTCCCTTGTGGGAGCACCTCCTATTTCCTTTTCAAAGGTTGCATAGTCCCCCAAGAAAAAGCTGATTTCACTTTGAAAGCTAATCAGAACTTTTTTTAGGAGCACATGTATCACTTACATTACCGTTTTACGTGACGAGAGTCAAACTGTTTGTTCATCGAAGTCTGAGAATATTATGATTACATTTTGAGAACATTTTGATGGTCGCTATACTCATAACTATACGAGTATGGCGACCTTTAATATTTATTTTGAGCAATAACTGTCTTTCCGTTTGAATTGATTAGGAAATTTTCCATTGCAAAATAAAAGACAATCGACGATCGCAGTGTACCGTTTATTGAAATTTTTTACAGGCCTCTCCGACTGTGGATTGTTTCGATCTGATTCTCCACTCGAAATTGTCAATATTGATTAAAACGGAAGGACAGTTATCACTCCACTTGACTCATCCCCTTTTCACACCCCTCCCGAGGAATGTCTGTTGTGGTATTCAGTAGCTGATATACTTGCGTTGTATTGTAACTGGAAGCCCTCAATAATTTTAGATGAAAGGTCAAGTTTTCGCTTATAATTTCAAAAAATACTCAGTTATCACTTTTGATATCTCTCTACTTCAACGGAACTGTGACGATTGCCATCAAGTAGTTAAACGAAAATTTTCCCATGTTTTATCACAATCTCAGCATGTTGCATCGATTGACGGAGCTGACCAAATAAGGGAAAAATCATTGAATCGTGACCTATTGTGTCCTCCACTTCCGGTTTCAAAATCGTCACGTCTCTCGGAAAAGAGGAACAAACTGCAGAGAGGGCAGAGGGCGGCTTGTTTACCTACCTACTAACCCATTGTTTATCACGTAATAGACAACATCATCTAATAAATCCCAACTGAGATAGAGCGAGTACAGAATAATAGCTGTTTCGAGTGTCTCCAGGGAATACTAGTCTGTTCTAGAACGTTCGCTATTTCCTGTTCTGAAAGTATCGGTAACATAGGCCTGAAAACACGTTCCACAGGACAGACTGCAAGCATAAACACCCTTCCCGTTCGTTCATTTTCCTTGTTTACTTAACTTATTAGTGGTTGTTCAGTCGTCATCCGCGCTCGAATTGTGGAAGTGCTTCCAAAATTGATAGTTACGTATTTGATTGAAGGTTTCCTGTACTTAGCTGATTTAACCGATTTGCGTCACAATGATGACGGATAGCGCCCCTCCCTGATTATTTCTCAGATTACTCCTGAAATAAATTCAACCAGTTATTGACTCGCCAGACAGATAAGGAGGGTCAGCAAGACGCAAATTAAACTTGGAGCAGTTTATTCAGTTAAAAGAATTACTTAAACCAAAACACGCGATGGCAGGACTTCGTGACGTGGTTTTTACAGGAATCTTTTTGTTTTTCCTCACACAGAGAATATCATCAAATAGTAGTAAGTCTATGAGTGTTTGGTTATTTTATCTATTTCATTTTCGTACCTTTGAAGACAAGATAAACACATGTTCCCGGTCGGGTCACCGAATTATTACATGTTGTCGTTATATTCAAGACAATTACCGAAGGCTGATTTATAGAGTACCATCTTCTGCCTTTTCTTTACGTTCGTTCCGTTGTGGTGTCACTGCTGCAAGCGGCGAAGAGAGTAGAAAGCTTCTCATATGACAACACTGCGCAGCTTCACCGGCTGAGTCATGAGAGGTTATCTCACATAATTTCAACAAACAGTAGAAACAAAAGAATGAGCAACATATCATGATCATATCTTGAGTTACTGAAATACATCTGAGAAATTTTCATTACCCTGTAATATCACTAAATGATACCCCTTAGCTACGTTGCGCAAGTTCCGTCCGCTTCAGTCAGCGTTGATGTCGACTGGGAGGATGGAAGTTTTTGAAAACTCAGAAGCCCCAGTTTAAAGTCTCACTGGTGTTGTTGTGCTTTTATAGCTTGAAATTCTTGTTATTGAATTCCACCAACAACAACCGAAATTCTTCGAAGCAGATTTAGGGTATTCGTTTATCTTTAGTAAACCTAAGTTCAGTTGTCGTCACTGTATCGAGCGTTTTATATACAGATTATGTTTGTCGGTCTAATGCCTTGTTCATCGTTATTTACCGATAAATTGTTTTCTCTCACCCAAATCTATGACCGTTTGTTCTATCGCTTGATACGTTTGCTAACAAGATTACGTGAACCTCGCTCAGAGGAAGATAATCCTACACAGACATAAGCTGAAATGTAATACGTTCTTACTCTGAACAGCTTTCATAATCTCGTATGCTTTATATCTCTTAACAGATCTTCCCAAAGAAATTAATGTTTTCGATGCAGTGGGTCTTGGCAGTAAGGTTTTCCCAGGAGTTTCGTCAACAGCTGGACAAAACAACAAGAGTCCGGCATATCACTTCACACAAAAAACTGATCACATGATTGCAAGTCAAAACGCATTTGAAGAGGTTGACAAACTCATCCACAACAGCAGTGATTTTATTGTCTCTGCTTACGCTAAGCTCGGGGCCAAGGAGATCTACAAAAACCCTATCGTTTCCATTAATTCAAAGGACGGCAATCAATTATACTTCCTATTGCAGATCTCGTGAGTATTGCGTTTATCTTTAGTAAAGCTCTTTTCCTGTTAATTATATGGCGAATTAACACTTCCGTTGCGAAATGTATCACTCCTTTTCACGCTAACAGAAAAGTCAATATTAGTTTTTGAACTGACGGTCCTCTCTGGGCC